GTAAAAGTAGCAAACATTCCTGCTACATTACCCGATTTAGTAGCAGGAATAATTTTTTCACTCCCAGTGCTGGTAATCTTCTTAGAAGACGTACCGGTGATGTAACTTGGATATACACGGGTAACAAGAGTTCTAAATGTTTTTTTTCGTTCGTTTTATAAAGTTTGTACAGGCATTAAAGCCCTTTCTTCATCCGTTTTTTTTTATTATTGCCTCCCGAGTAGAGATACTTGGAAGTCTTTAAATAGACTGCGGACCCAAGTCGGCCGAAGCAAGGAGAGCATGCACAGGTGGGGTTATAGCTCTGAGAGCGCATGTATTTGTGGTGTCTCTCCTGAGACTGGCACATCTTTTGTCTTGTCCTGCCTGCCCCTACACCTGCACACGCGAGGATCTGTGCAACGCCACTGATTATGCTGTGTCAGTCGCTGCGGACTGGTCCTCACAAATATAAACTTTATTAAGAACAAGAAGCAGAGTTAGCAACCGCCCACAGCCAAAAACTCACAGTTCACAATAGCTCGATACTACTAAACTAGCTCCGTCGTACGTAACGTCTTACGTAATGCAAAACAAGGTCGAATGTCATCAAACTAAACATGCAACAGATTTATAGGGTTATAGTTGGTACATCTTTACTACACTATACCATTAAAAAAGAGTATTTATATCAGACTTATAATAAGACAAATTGATTTCTGCACCGTCTGGAGATATCAATGTAGTTACCGGACTAAAAACTAATACTCGATAAAGATGGAGTTATCACGTTACCTATTAGTGATGTAATACTTCTTGCGCCATAATAACTACAATTACGTTGCTCATGGTCAAAGTCTCGGACGCTTTATTTGCGTACTCATCGTGAGTCGTAAAGATTCACTTTATTTTAAATAATTACTAATGCGTTTGTGGTTTACAAACTACCTACTCCCGGACACATAATTCACCTTGTATTTTTATTCTCAAAGGGCTAGAATAAAAAATATATTATTATCATCGAACAAAAAAGTTTTTTGCAAATTCCAATTTTGAACAAGAACACGGAAATGATGTTAGGTATGCCTAAGTTTTTGGTCAATTGAATAATTTTTTTTAATTTAAGATCAGGGCATAGCCTTGATATTGGCAACTGGCTGGAGCTGATAGCGACCAATAATTCAAACCTTTGTTTTTATGTATCTCTGTAATTTTTGTTTGAATGTATTAATACTAACCTCATATTATAATTGTTCACTCGCTCGTTAACTAGGGCATTATACTGAAAGTACAAGGTGCCTCGAATTGTGTGTCCAGTATTGTATAAGAACTAGGTAGATAGGAAGCAATTATCAGATAATCTTAAGGAAATCTCATTACCTATATAGCAACCTTAATAATTTAACTGCCTCTGTGGCCGAACGGTTACCATGCCGGACTGCCATGCAGAGGTCCTGGGTTCGATTCCCAGGCCGGGAGAAATATGTGTATGCCCTACATTTATTTCTCCCGTGAGTTTGGGTGTAATTTGTGGTTGTCTATGTGTCTGCCCATGGCACCCGCGACACAGGGTTTCCCTAGTGCGGGGCTATGTTGAGTGTGTGCGTTATTATTATAAAAATAACAAAGCTACGATATTGTAAGAGTTTCTCTGAATGGCAAAATACGAAATTAGGTTATCCGACAGAGAGCGACCTTAGATGACCTTGGCCGTCGACATAGCTGGTAGAATAAGCAAGGTGAAGTGGCAGTGGGCTGGACATATTTGACGAAACAAATTTAACCGCTGGGGGAAGACCACTCTCTTCCGAAACTCCAACTCAGATGATCTTTATTTCAAATGCTAGCCAATTACACTTGAAAAGATCATACTGATTAAACTCTACTACTCATTCGCAACGCAGATTTCCCTGAGAAAAATGAGCAAGAAGCTCTAGAGGTTACTCTTTGTTAAATATACATTTGAATACAGTGATAATTTATAATATTTATTTCCAACATCTTTGATCGAGAATTCCTGCAAGAGATAAACGGGTCACTACCACGGATTTTTGTCATCTAAGTAAGCTGTATAATGATAACCTTCAGAATAAAGTTTTTGTTTCACTATGGTTTCCAAATGTCCTTAAAATATTATTTCCAAAATGACTGTAAATAATGTAACATTGTAAAAGAAAGCTGGTGGCAAAAATCGCACGGAATTAGTAGCTTTTTAAAAAAATATACAATTTTAGAAATGAAGCCTTTTTCGGATTTGTTTTTCAAACAAACCATCGTCTACAAACAGGATTTTATCATATGTGCTTATCTATATTATATTTTATCAATGGCTTATCGTGCATTATTTTATAAAATCTTTTTCGTTACTTACAAATAGGTTACTTTTTAAAATTCGACTTCATTATTGAGATTGCATTACCTATACTCGTTGTAATTTTCATTATTCGAAAACTGTATTTGGAGTTGTAGGTATGTACCTATACTTGCAACGCATTACAAAACGTAATGTAATGTGTCCTTGAGTGCTTTGGTTGAATTGAATTGAATGAAGTCATGTTAGTTAATTCCTGTTATCACAAAAAAGCTGCGCCTCATTGCGTAAGAGTGTATAGTTATAGTTATAATCAGAGACCGATCTTGATAATCAATGAGAATGAATAAAGATAAATTAATGGCTAAAAACAAGAGAATGATCTAAGTTTCAAGTAAGACTCTAAAGTTGAGATCTATAAAACAAACTTCGACTAACTACCAACCACCATAAGGGTGACCATAGTTCGAAGGAAGTTGCATCCAAATTCGATGTCATGGGGTAGTTATAAATTAACGTTTTTTTAGCCGTCGTGCATTTCGCTGTCATTCACAGAGACGCAGTATATTAGCTTAAGGCTCAACTTACACTGGCGCAGAGTCCAAGCGTCGCCTCGCGTCCTGTTCAACTACAACGCCTGGATCACAGTGTGGTCGGCGTCTGACGCCTCACTGCGCTCAAGTAACGCGCGTTCACCCTTGACTCCATATTTGCAAAACACAAATTTGGGATTTGGGAATAATGGGAAAATAGAGATGAACATACCATAGGCGAAAAACATGACGGGTCGCGACTGCGCCAGTGTGAGTTGAGCCTAAGTAAAATTAGTAGAGACATGGTGTTTCTACAAGTATTATAAAGGAACTTCAAAAGTTGTGAAGTTGTAAATTTGTATTGTGGCAATCAAGCTGCTGTGCAGTTTGTTTATAAGACGTATTATAAAAAGAGCAAACACAACGAAGTTAACTGTTAGGGATAAGATAGACCGGTTAAATGTTAAAATTTCCTACATCCCTGCAGATGTAGTGGTAGCTAAATACGAAATGTATTTTTGTATTTCAACTGCAGTCCCTCACACTTGTTTTCTGAAAAATGTTATGGGCAACAAATATTAATTTACAATATTGTTATTTGCTGTGTTTTTAATCTCTAAAATTGTTACACTTTAAAGATATAGATTACGAATATTAAATCCTATAGAGTAAAATCCAATACGAAAAATGATACCGGGACTTCAGAAGGAGATAATGTGCACTGCTTTGACTATAATACTATATAGTGTTTAGGAAATGAAACTTCTTTCCGGATTTAAATCGCGTATATTTGTTTTTTCAAACAAACCGACGTTTCGGGCCGTTTACAGGTCCCATGGTCACGGTTTACTGAGGTGGTACAGTCTTCTGACTGTAGATGAGAACTCGATACCATATATAGTGTTCTTTAATAAAAATGGAAGTAAATAACCTTGCTACTCTGCCGGTAAAAGTTAAATGCCATCCAGATATATATTATATATAGCGATATTTGCCACAGCTGTGGGCAGCGAAATCCGACTGTGTATGCGGTATTCCTGCTGTTCAATCTTAAGCAAAAGTGCGGCTATCCGCATTGGTGTCGATTTTTTTATGAGATTAATTTTATTTTCCCACTCTCTGTCCGCATCAAATTAATAAAATAAATAACACAAGCGCAGCTACAGACACAAACACCAGTATGAAAAATACACTCCGTACTTTGGTAAAAAAAATCGATACAAGCCCGGCAAGACGGTATTAAGCATTGGACAAAACAACTAAATAAGTATTTCGGGCTTTGCAATCTGGAACTACTGTATTGTGATATAGGATCAAGAGTAGATCCAGCTCGACACTTAAGGTCTCAATTCAACTCTATGCTGCTTACGATAAGAACTGTACGAACAGATCGGGGCTTAGTAGGTACACAGGAGACCGTATCATTAGTAAAGTCGAAAGAAAAGAAAAAACAATGGAAGGGCCGTAAGCCTCGATTACTATTAGAACCTCTGTCGCAAACATTTATGCTATCATAATTGGAACACTGTGAACCTGTGAACTTTTGAGGTCGATTTTTTTAAAAAGAAAAGTACCTAAAAAAATTGTATTGAAGGTAGGACATTTTACTTTACGGAAACATCGAGGGAGAGTCCCAACATAACCCCTGAGTCTCTCTGGGCTCAGGGGTATCTATAAAGATTCCCTCCCCCCCCCACTCGTCAAAAAAAGGGTAAGTTCCGATAACTCGAACACGTTAAGTTCAGGGCTTTAGATCGCAAAGATCTGAGGGGCATTATCACTGCACACGTATTCATGTCTGTCAAATTTAAAAAAAAACCTATTTATTCTTAAAACAAAAATTGCATTAGAACAGGGTCCTATATAACATCTAGGTAGACAACTAAGTTACACAAATTCCGTCATGGGACATTGCAATAATGAACGTTGGCATTCTAATAAAATCTAATAAACAAGAAGTTAGTGGGAGACAGAGAGGAATCCACTTTATTATTTATATCTAAATTAAATAATAATAACGTGAACGACAAATTAGCGATAAGAGATACATAAAACACAGTCTTACGAAAGGAAAGAGATAACATGTCGTAACAGTTCTACATAAAGCAACTATTTATTTGAATACAGAGAAGCGAACAAGTTGACGCTAATTTAGCCTTCAAGAATTGGTTACAGCCGGCGCATTATAATTTAGAAGCGTTTAGGTGACTGCTTGTGCGGCTGTGTGTAGCCGAAGTATACCGCATATAAATTGAATAAAAAAGATATGTATGGTCCGGTAACTTGAAGTTACAAGAACACTCGTACATCGCATACAAGGTTAGTTAATAAAATAATGTTGTTTTTTATAGAACTTTAGTTCCGTATTCAATGTACAAGTTAGACATAATTATAAAACGTTGTTTTTAGATCATCACAATGTTCGGACTAAAATGGTCATTATTTGCGACATTGGCTTCGTTGTCCTGCATCGATGCCGCTAACATCCTTGTGGTATTTACATTCCCGGGAAAGAGCCACGGAATCCTTGGAGAGGGTTATGTGCGGTTGTTATTAGCGGCTGGACATCAGGTTAGTGCTCTGTGGTCACTTTTCTCAAAGTTTCTCTGGTGGAAGGGACACGCCTGTCCTGAACAGTTGTTGTCACGAATAGTTGAAAGTAGAATACGGTTGAAATTTCCTGTGATTTTCAAATATGAATGATGGTCTGAATCCACTGTATTAATTATCGGCAAACTGACCCGTTGAATACATTTAGCAACGTTTTATTAAATACCATCTTTCTGAAATACTTATGAGTATAATAAATATGAGGGTTACCATGGCGCTAACGCCACTCACTCGCTGTACTCATACAGCCCGCGACCGGTACCCAATTTGCGGCAATTTAAAATATACGGCAATCACGCTGCGTTCAATGAGTGGGCAAGGTTAGGTATTATTGAAAATGCACCACACCAAAACGGTGATATTGGGCATCTCACACCACTGTGGGTGGCAATAAAGAGCAGAGTGCAACTTTTGACACGTCAGCTAGAGACGCCAGTGGCTTATCGTTCAGTAATTGTTCTGGGAAGGGCACTGACCGAGGTACACTGGGATATTCTCCTGTCTTCTCGACAGCGACCCCGGTGCCAAGTCAGACTTTGACCCGACTACCGACAACAACTGTGACTCGCTCTGGTCGTGCATCACGGCCACCTAACAAGGTGATTTTTAAATAGTGTACATACTTATTTTTTATAATGACCTGTTATTATTTTTATATCGTAGTGTTATTATAAAAGTATGTTTAGTCGAACCGTCCGATTTCTTCCTAGTGGCGAGTGTCACGAACAGTTAATAAATAGGAACGTTTTAATAAATGCTATCTTTCTGAGATACTCTTTTGCGTTTTATATAAATTCACAAAGGATTTGTAATAGTTGCAGTGCCACCCAGAGCTTTAAAACGAAAAGATATGAGGTGCACTGCCACTTCACCCTTTATCCGGAAACATAAGCTCGAAAGTCCCGTGTGCTTGTAATTTCACCAAATTAACATAACTTTATTGAAAAATTTACTTCAGTGTTCGTAACGAACATATCCGTTGAAAAGGTTACAAGAAGCGACTTTAAATTTTTGTTTAGGTATGTTGTGCTCGCCAATTTTGATGCTTTTATTGTGACATGCTCTCAGTACTGCTGCTGCATCAACCTGCTCGAGCGACGTATTGTGTTTAGCTTTGCGAAATGTATTGCGATGATGTAAACAAATCTCACTTCGTTCACTTTATTTGTCCAAACACCATACTTTGCATACTTAAATTTCATAGAATATCATAAATAAATTGATGCTAAAGTAATATACAGCAACTAGTTCTGCCGCCGTTAGTTGAAAGGGCGCAAGTGACATTTTTTCATACATTATGTATACTGGATAAGGTTTTTTGATTTCTTTTCCTTGAACATTATTTTCTTGGTTTTGAGTTTTGTCACAAGCGCCTTTTCAACTAATGACGACAGAGTTGTAATCTTGGCTTTTTTATTTAAAAAAGAACTGAAATTTCAGGTGACGTATATAACTCCGTTCCCGTCTAAAAAGTCGCACCCAAACCTAATTGAGGTAGACGTCAGTCGTAACGTGGATTTATCTCCCAGTATGTTTTACTATTATATTACGATTTTATGAAAATGCCTGAGTAAACTTGGGATCATATTTAAACACAAGATCGTTGGTTTAATTGAAATCTGTTTTACCTTTCAGCTAAGTTAATTGATATAGGAAAAATATTGGATAAAGAAGTAGATCCAAATGATATGTCGAGTTTCACGGATATATTGTTAGCCTTAAATAATAGCACTTATACAAATGAAAACGTACAGAAATTTCTAATGGATCCTTCGCAAAAATTTGATGCAGTCATTGTTGAATGGCTTTTCGCCGACTTATCTTGTGGGTAAGATTTATGTTTTTTTTTTCCAAAAAATGCTTGACAGCCACTGATTGCAACGAGCTAAAACGAAAAAGATTAAATTGCGATTGTGAACTATGACAATGAAATGGCAGTGTCTTGTTGTTATACAAGTAGTACCGATATACGAGTACACTTCAGATTATACTTTAAGTCAAGGGTAGGCGGGCCTTTTTTACTTGAAAATCAGACTTTCACTTCGACAGATTTCTTTCTTTTATACGATCAGTTTGTTATTTCGTCAGATTGGTACATTTAACTGAACCATAGACTCCCGACGCACAAAAGGAAATCAGGGCTTCTATAACATACGCATTAAACTACAGACCTAGAACTAGTTCATTTCTTAAAACAATGTCAACCGTAACTAATTAACGTTTTTGAAAATTCAATCTCTAACGTGAAGAGATGGAGTTTAACGTGAAAATTAATTTTACGCGTGGGACGTCTCAAGCGTTCGCTTTTACAAGTATATTTATTATGCAAGAAGCGGAAGTGACAACTTCCCTAAAGCAAATCGGTCAACTCAGACCATGATTCTTATTTCAAAATCACTGGAGTTTTCTCCCGGAAAGTTTTAAATTTTTCCGGTTTTTTTCTCAACGAATTAACCATAGTTTAAGTAAACAACGTAAATACAACTACAACCTATTTTTAAATAAAAAGGACGGTACAAAACATAAACCAGGCAATGTGAAGCGTAACATTTTGGCACCGTTACGCGCATCAGCTGTTTGGTTCGGGTTATCGCCCGCTTTTCGGGACGCGCGAGCAATACGCATCGATACGATGGCGCTGCTAAAAAAAATTATTAATTTCATTTTAGCGTAGCGAAAAAAAATTTCAAAACGAAAAATTCGCAAGCCGAATATATTTTTTAATCCGAAAGCCGAATTTTCGTAAAATCCGGTAGAAATTTCCTGTGATGTTCAAATATGGAAGATGGTCTGAATCCACTGTATTAATTATCGGCAAACTGACCCTTTCACCCTGTATATTATTTGCATATGAAATCTACAAATTGATAAAACACGACCACTTATTCGTAAAACAGTTTCCCCTGAGAAGAAATATTCACTTTATTTTGTAGACAAGAAGTCCTATATTGCATGGATATCTCTGAAATTCACACTGGGCAGCTTAACGTCGCTCAGCACCTGTCTACCTTTCAAAGAAATATACCTTATTGTTGTAAAGCTAGGTTACACTCTGCATTGCTCGTTGCGGTAAAAGCCGCCGACGACAGGCGGTGTTATGCCGGCAGCATAAGCGTTACGTCACGCTGCAGGGCACGGTTTTACTCTTTTGTTAGAAGAAATGCATATTTAATTTAGTAGAGAATGTGTAACTGTCTAACGGGGAATATGTGTATTACAACGAATGTAACGACGTTACACCCGCTCCCAACTCGCGCGCCCGCGTGTTGTCTATGGTAGCGAACGACTGATGCGCTCCCGCGCATTCCCTGACCCGCGCCCTATAATATGTTGTCGTCTATATAAATACACGGAATTACACCCACCGTCCTCCCGACCCGACACACGCCCGATCCGCAACCGCTCTCTGTACGTTATCGCTCTATCTGTAGAGGATAAAGTTTATGCAGCGTCGCGTCACGTCACCGTGGCGGTGGCAATTAATATAATATTATTTAGTTAGATAATAAACCTCTTTTGACAAACTGATCAAACCATTTTAATTGTTTGTATAGTTAAAACGAAGATAAATGTCGGTTTCAAAGAAAATGACAAGGATATCAAATTAAATCCTTATCCTTTAGGAGTGGCCGCCCTAAAGTAAATATTAATAATAACTATTGGTGCAGGTGGTTAATTTTATCTATTAAGGCGTACAAATATTTGTAATAAAAATGGATAAAGCTGGTACAAGCAGAGGCGTAGAAAATGTTATTAAGAGCAGAATATAAATAAATACACATTGGCACTGAAAAATAAAAGTTGTACGACAAATTGGCGAGGCAGCAATAGAGACAACTGCAACGCATCTATAGCTATAAGCGCTGAAAATGCGTTTCTTCGGGAAAGCAATCACTGTTGTTTACCTGACTCTGTAGAAAAATATATATGGAAAAATTTTTCACAATTTTTTGTAAACGTTACGACAATATTATTGCTGATTTGCCAAAATTTTCATCTAAACATACAACTTTGTGCAGTGTAAGAAAACAATATCTTAATAGTGATAAATGCATATTTACAAAGCTAGAGGATGTCTAACTTCCCGATAAACTGAGTAAAAAATTTAGAATATTTGAAGATGGTGATACGGAAAAAGTACTTATTTTTGCCACTGGTCAAAACGTACAAATTTTACCGAAGATAAGGAAATAGCATGGCGATGGAACGTTTCAATTTACACCCAAACCATTTTATCAAGTTTATTCATTACATACATTTCGAAGATGATCGAACTAAGTTACATTTTATACCATTTGATTTACATTCTATTACCGAACAAAGCACATGATACATATGTGAGAATGTTTAGAATTTTCAGAGATAACTTCTCTCTGAATATGGAGTCGAACAAATGTGACGATGAAATTGTTGTAAATAACTCAGTGAAGAACGTTTTTGATGACGTTTCAGTCATTGGCTGGTATTTTTTTTAAATGCTTTAAGACGTAAGTCCCTACAAATGAACCTGAATTCTACATTGGAAGGCAAAAAATACTGGGCTTATTTTATCAATTACCATGACGTCCCGTGCCGTGTGTATTCCTGAAGCTCTCTTATGAGGAGGCTCCGAATTCAGAACAGTTTTTAAAATAATTATTTAATGTGCTTTTAGAGTGTATTAAGATTATCAAAATAGTATTAAGTACTTTTTTGTAGGGTAATAACATGTAACATTTTGTATACACTGTTTACATTTATGTAACCATACTTTAACGAAATAACAATCACACCGTATAGAAATCTGTCTTAGTGAACATCTGACGTTGAAATAAAAATGGGCTCAACCAAACCAAAATTTTCCAAACATACACTTCGTTAGGCAGATGGAAACATTTTTTTGATACAATTTCTGAAGGAGGTACAATCTCTGAAGAGCATTATCCTTTAAAAGGTATGTTCTTGTCGATACGGTAAACACCTTTCTGTTCTGTCTAAACTCCTCTACTTAACTTGCTTATGTATAAGTCGTGATGTATCACGACGTTAATGTTTTCGTTAGCGTTAATTTGGTTGAAATTAAACTCATCTTCGGCCTCCAACGTCCATGCCAGTTATCCACATTTTTTATCTGTTAGATTTCAGATATAGTCGTCATATTGTATAATGTGGTCTAGTACATTTCGATTTCGAATTCCAATTGCTTCCAGGATGCTTCTATTCTGTTTTATTGGCTAGTACTTTTTCATCGGATTCCCTCTCTTGCCCATTTATTACGTGTCCTCAGATGAAGAGACTTCAAATAATGTCTATTTAATTACGTCATGCAGGTGCAGTGATTTGATTGTTTTTAGAATTTTGCATTTATGTTAAAAACAAAATGAGAAATATGGAATCAGCCGTTTGTGTTCCTTAATTTGCAATTAAGTCTGTCTAATATGAACTTGTCTAAATTCAATCTGACATCAGTACACTATTTTCAGATTATCGGCGGTGTTCAATTGCCCGTTGATATGGTTTTCAACAGTGGAACCTCACTGGATAGTCACAAGGTTAATCGATGAACGCTTAAACCCAGCTTACAACGCCGATTGTATGACAGGGAACTTACCACCGTTCACCTTCAAGGAACGGGTCCATGAATTATGGAACCAAATTTTTATAGGTTTTTTCCTTGATTAGTGAGTTATATTATTATATATATATATAAATCACAGTACTTACAATTAATTTTCTCGAGTACCGAAGGAAAAACATTGCAGTCACCACAACAGAGTCTGTTTGTGACTTTTTCAATAAGAATTGTGCAATTTTAATTCCTTATTAATATAGAGAATTTATTTTATTATTGCTTTGTTTTCCTGTACTTACTATACATATTTAATGGTTGCAGCTTTTATGTGCCCAAAGAAGATAAATTATATAACGCATTATTCGGACCAGCAGCAGCTGTAAGAGGAATATCGTTGCCTTTATATAATGATGTAAGATTCAACGCGTCCCTGATGTTGGGCAATTCACATGTTTCGCTGGGACAAGCAACTAGATTGCCCCAAAGCTATAAGCCAATAGCAGGATATCATATCGACCCCGATGTTAAACCTCTGCCGGAGGTAAGATCTAATCTCCTTTTTTTATACCGTTTCGTAACTCTCGGTATCACCAGCAACAACAACCAAATGTTCCAAGTCCTACTGCCCAATTTGAAAAAGTCAGGTGAATTAAAATTGAAATTTTAATAATCTGTAAATTTAAATCAAGAGGCGACTCGATCAAGCATTTTGATATCATAGAGTATTACTGTCGTCTCTCGAAGGTCTTAATTGTTTAAATTGTTATAAGGATACTGTAAGCCACAGCTATAATGCACCAAATAGACACATTGCTGCAGGGTCTTTATTAATACACTTAACAAAAATTACAATTAAAATATTACGATTACATATTTTCAGGATTTGAAAAAAATCTTCGATAACGAGAAGCGTGGCATTATATACTTCAGCATGGGCTCTAACTTAAAAAGTAAAGATTTACCGGAAAAATTAAAGAAAGATTTATTGAAAATGTTTGGAACACTGAAATATACCGTCCTTTGGAAATTTGAAGAAATACTTCCGGATTTACCCAGAAATGTTCACATCGTAAAATGGGCACCTCAGCCCAGCATTTTGGGTACGACACGTGAAATCATCTTTTTCTAAAGTGATAATTACCTCACTAATACCTGACGATAAAACTTACATTGTTTTGCAGCTCATCCAAAAACGATTCTGTTTGTAACCCACGGAGGCCTGCTGTCAACTACTGAGACTGTTCACTTTGGAGTGCCTATCATCGGTATACCAGTATTTGCAGATCAATTTAACAATGTCGACAGAGCCGTAAATAAAGGTTTCGCAAAGCGAGTCGACCTCACCTATACGATAGCTGATGATCTAAAAGTAGCTATTGTGGAAATCACTAGCAATCCCCGGTACGAATCTATCCGTGGATAATATAAAAATTCAAAAAAGTACATGACAATTATTGTAACAAAAAATGAATGCACTGGATCTTTGAGAAATAGTTTTTTGTGTTTCAGGTATGCAGCGAAAGTGAAGGAGTTATCCCTAATATACCACGATCGCCCAGTGTCTCCAGGCAAGGAACTGGTGCACTGGGTTGAGCATGTTATCAAAACTAAAGGGGCGCCACACCTGCGCTCACCAGCACTGTATGTACCTTGGTACCAGAAAATGTACCTTGATCTTGCTGCCCTTCTATTGGCTGGATTAATAGCTATTAAAATAGTTTTAAAACGATTGTTTTGTTCGAAGAAGAGTATAACTTCTGAAAAGAAATATAACTAAAAAGAGCATTTGTAAGTGTATGTATTTGGGAAATAAAGACAATTTTAAAACGGATTTTGTGTTAAGAAATTTCTAAACACACAAATTCTGGAAACGGCCGATTCTTTAAATGGCAGAGTCTGAAAATGACGGAATTTGCACAATAAGCCGGGCAAATAAATTGCACGTTTTGGAATGATTTTGTATACATTTTTACTTATGGACCAACTAATATGCACAACTAGTTGTGTTATAACGTATACATACGTTATAATGACTTGAATCAAACACCAAACTGTTAAGCGTAAAATAATAGTCGATTCTATTCTATTCTAAATGAGGAACATACATACTCGTATGTACGCAAAATGGGTCGGAGTGCTCTTGAGTGTCACTAAATGTGTTACCCCAGTGAATTCGGGTTGGTATTTAGTATTATCTATATGTAGGTATATTGATGTTTTTTTTGAAAATTTGATTGACAAAACTTTTCGATATTTTTCTTTACTTTCAAATATAAGAAATGATTAATAAATGAGTGTTGTACATATTTGATTAGTTTATTTTTTCTATAACGTTTCACTGACAACGGAATTTAACCTTCAATAGTCGGACGTAACTTTGCTAAGGTAGATTATGTTTGTCTAAGCCACTGGCCACTTATGATGATAAGTAGAATGACTAAATTAGGTGTCACTATTTTCATTGTCATTTTGATTGTGCCCGAACACAAAATTATTCTTTAAAGGACTAAGAATAAATTATTTATGTGTGATATTTCTGCAACTGGTGAAAAAATTCAACATAGAGTCATCAGTAGCAGGAAAAAGTTGTGGTATTTCTTAAATAAAAAAAACACGCAGGTTACATCTGTAAAAAATAACTTGAAAGGAACCAAAAATTCGTCAATTACTTTGGACATGAAAAATAATATTGTTAAAGATACTATGCATATATGTACTCGGGATGTAGTACAAAACTGCATTGATGAAGTGATGGACCAGATGAAGAAAGAGGTATGTTCAAATTTTGGTGCTGTCCAAAAAATAATTGAAAATAACTTAAATAAATTTTCTGACAAATTGTCAGTGGAATATGGATATTCTTTGTGTTTCATGAGCATTGGACCCTGAATTATTTTATTTGGTAATTGGGCGACAGAGGGAATTAATAAAATTTGAGAAAAGTTTCTTTACGATGAAAGGACTAATAAAGGAATAATAAAATTAAGAAAAAGAAAATTACTTGGAAAATTGTAAACAGCGAAACTGGAAGAGTGAAACCTCGTAACCTAGAGATTCAATTAATAATTAATTACCAAACAGCAAAGACTGATGTAGACGTTGCAAAAGTTTCCAAATAGTTTTTTAATGACATTCCAATTTCGACAACTAAATCGTTTCATTCGTCTCCCGCAGTCACTGAATCTGTACTTAAAGAAAATATTGGAATCAGTGGTGCTCTGTAAATACAAGAGACATTCTAAAAACTATTCTATAGTTGATTGTATTCCTCCTTACTTAACATGTATTTTTAACAAATTCATTGATAATGGAGTGTTTCCTGATCTGATGAAGCTAAGCAAAGTTCTTCCTCTTTTTAAATCCAGTAGTAAATCTGACCCCACCAATTTCAGACCTATTTCTATCTATTCTCAGTTGTTCACTGATGATACTTCCTTATTATTCGAAGTTAAAAGGCAGCAATTTGCCTTTAACGAAGTTTAAAACTTTTGTTTAAACAAAACTAGTGCTAAAGCTTATTTATTATACTATTTCTGCTTATTTGGATGATAAACATTCTTGGGACTGAACATTTGGTTCTTTCAGGTTAATTATTGTTATAACATAAATCTAAACAAATGTTGTATATAATAAATAAAAATTGTAAATAACATTCCTTTAATTTTGTTGACAAATAGCGTTAACTTTCTGTACACATTATTCTGTTGTAGATGGCGTTTTTTGTCACTGAAAAAAAATGACGAAATGTGAAGCGCACGCCCTCGTAATATTTTTGTGATATATTGACAATTCCTATGCCAATTATGGGTTTCTTACGCAAGAATCCATAACAAGTGTTCCTTCAGATATCCAAGTTCCAAATTCCAATAAACTGAGGTAGCCGTTATATGGTTTTGGAAAAAAGGATTTTAAGTAGCAACACTATCAAGTACCTATTTTGCAACGGTGAACATTTAATATGCTTAATACACATAAAATAGAATGGTAGGATAAAATAATACATTTTCATAACCATAAAAGGGCGATGACGCAATAGTAACAAATAACACACGAACAAAACTGTACCCATGTGTACGATGGTAATCCTGCCGTTAAAAAATCTGACGTTTCCAGAGTCTGCCATTCACCGAAAAAAGGATTTTAAGTAGCAAAACTATCAAGTACCTATTCTGCAACGGTGAACGTTTAATATGTTCAAGACACTATAGAACGGTAAGATAAATGGATAAGTTTTCATAACCATAAAAGGGCGATGACGCAATAGTAATAAAGCAAACACACGAATAAAACCGTACCTATGTATACGATGATAATTCTATTTATAGTTCGGTAAATCAAGGTTATATGATATAGTGTCCGATGGTAAAAGTGGAAAATATGTGGAAGTAAATTATCATAACATGCTACGTGCAACGACTACGAATTTGTTTGGTGTATTAACTTCTGCTGTGACCTTTGCCCGCAAAATAACAGCCATAATTGGTGTGTCATAGTTCAAAAAAGCATTTCTTTCCGTTACCAGTTTCTTAACTAAATTATCTTTTTTCTGGATTTTAAAAGTAATATTTTATGACATTATGTTTTTGTTATCGAGTAATTAGTTTAAATTTCATTTCGTTGCTGTTCATTTTATGTTTTGTTGAGACCTTATTGTTTGGTTGTTGTTGATTTTTAATTGTTGTGCAGTTTTTTGTAACATGATAACATAGCAATTGAATACTTTTCATTATTATTATTTTTTTCGCACACACTCAACATAGTCCCGCACTAGGGAAACCCTGTGTCGCCGGTGCCGTGGACACACACATAGACAACCACAAATTACATCCAAGCTCACGAGAGAAATAAATGTAGGCCATACGAATATTTCTCCCGGTCCGGGAATCCAACCACTACCCAATATTTCTTTTTTTTATACCTGACAGGCAAATGACTCTGGGACCTCTGCTTTGTGTATTATCTGTTCTTAAATTACTATTTAGTGAAAAAGATGGTTGTCATTTTTTTAATTAAACAATATTTAATTACCCCATTTATATCAAAACGCTCTGCTCTATTTGAGAAAATTATATCTTTCCTTAAAACCTCCCGTTACTCAAAACGTATAAAAATTACTTGCGTCCTTTTGAATTAGGACGGCAGTGTTGTAAAACGGTGGTTGTTCTCAAAGACAAAGGTTTAGACACGACCAAAAAGTTACCAAACTTTAACCAAATTAAATCGGCTGAATAAAGGAGAAAAAAAATCAGTTTTTAGGCCTTAAAATCCATAGTGAGAAAGTCCATCGCTCCTTACCAGTGGTTGAGATCAACCTGTCCCTGCAATCCTCCTACTTGAGACTCCGTTCCCGGTGCTCAACAAAACACGACACTTAATTTTGCCAAAAGCTATTTTTTTATTTATTTAATTTTGTTCAAGTTACAAAGACCCATAAATTACATAATAATATAATATATACCTTAAGGAATAACATACATACAATATAATAAAACACTATTTCTAACTAATCTACACGAATTGCACTTGTCAGTGACGTGTGGCGCAATCTGGTGTCAGCTTATTTGAGCAGAACATATCTGACAAATATCCACACGTGCAACGTGATAAGTTTTTGAACTCAATCAAGTTGAGTCACAAATCTGGAAAAAAGGACTCATCATATTGCAACTTTATATTGGAAGTGCCTTTTTTTTTTTTTTTTTTTACGGGGGGTAA